GCTTTCTGTCTCTATGTCTCTCTCTGTCTGTCTGGCGAGCGCATGCGCCCTACAGTGAAAATCTCTCCAAAAAAAAAAAGGGCAGTTAATGTAGAACTCAAGGGTGACTCCATGGTCATATGCTAAGCATATCTCCCTAAGAGTGAGAAAGTCATCACAGTGGTTTCTCTATGGAGCATTCACTAAAACTGTCAAGTTAAGGTTATACGAGCAAAAGAAGTCAAGTTCTAAAGTAGTTGGAGGGTGATCTATCAACACAAAATTGGTGAAATATTGCAGTGAAATTGTTTGAAAATAAATGCCTTTTTAGTTATGCCTAAATGCCTAAAATTATGAAGTTTATCTTCTATCCTGTGGGGTGAAAAATGCACACTTCAGTCATAGTCTGCAATATTTTTTTTTAAAACTATTCTGTTTCTATCAACCATTCTGTCACTTAGAAGCAATTCATGTTCTAAAAATACATATGATTTTTCTCTCAAAGTACTGTAATTATTTATGTAAGGTGAAAAACCACTGTAACTATAATATACATCATTAATAGAAAAATATACATGAATCAAAGTGTGCAAAAATAAACTACATCCAACAGCAGACTACTTAACACAATAACTGATACTCTGCATCAAGAGCAGGGCCATGAGATGGAGAGAGGAGTGAAAGAGGGAAGAGGCCTTTGTTGTATCTATTACCTGCAATTGTAATACACAGAAGTAGACCATATACCATGGGTTCTCCATGTGTAACAATGAAAATAAATAATAAAGTAGCTAATATTTATTGAATGCCTACTGTATGATCAGCATTGTAAGGTAGGTGTTGCTGTTATTATCCCCATTTTTCAGAAAAGAAAAGTGAGCTTAACTACGGGCTTAATGAACTAAAGCAAGTCAATGCAAAAATAGGATAAGGAGACTCAGTGGTGGCTTTATCCTTTTTCTACCTCTCCCAATATAGCCCTTTTGATCTCTATGTTTCTATTTTGTCATCTTTTATCCCCTTCCAGGTTGCCTCCAGTCCTCATTTTGCTTCATTTCAAAGGCATAGCATTTCTGTTTTTGTCTGACAGAAAGGGACCAGATGAACACACAATGTGTTTTGCCTCAGAGCCTGAATCCATGAAGAGGTGGTGCTGCCAGTTGCCCTTCAGCTGGCAAGTAACTCTCAGTTTCACCTGTTGGAATCAAGACTCCAGATAGTATGGAAAAGAGATGGTAATGGACGTTAAAGCACTTCCTGTGCCATACATTGAATGCCAGCTTTTCCCATTTATTTCCCACAACAGTCCTATAAAGTAGAGGAACTACTGTCATTTCCATTTGATAAATGAGAAAACTATTACCCTGAAAATTTGAGTGACTTTTCTCAGGTCATAGTTATTGGATTGCAATTCCATCCTCAGTCACTTTGGCTCCATAGCCTCTTATTTTCTATAGTACCATGCTGCCTTTTAAAAAGCTAAATTAGGCTTGCTAGGAGGCTCCCAAGTTTTTTGATAAGATGGCATAGAACAGCACCTGCTAGACTGTGAACCTGGCTTAGCTAGAAGGCAAAGCCTCTCCTATGATCTATGTCAACTGATCTCCCTCAAAAAGGTGGGCCCTAACAGTTTGGAATTCACACCACAGGAGATGTTGCTCCAGCCTAGTATAGAACTGAAACCCTTAGTATGACTCTACCTTTCCAGTGCACATTTCAGCATTGTTGCTCAGGGCTTGTCAGGGACTTAGCTTTGTGAACAGTCACCAACATCTGGACAGTGAGCCTTCTGTGATCACTGTCTCTTATGTCCCTGGTATGTAGAGCATGATCCTATGTGATCTCACAGAACACTGTTCTTTTAGAGTACTTAGTTTATAATTACATATTCATTAACATAATAATTTACTTAGTGTCCACCACTAGCTTATAAGCTCCATGAATGTAGAGATAGTATCTTGTCTTCTGTATCCCAAGTACCTAGAACAATACTCAATAAGCAGTTATTGAGTGAATGAATGCTTTTCCCATCAAATAACCAGATGGCTAATTATCCAACCATAAAGAACACATTCAGAGGCTGTCTGTGCCTTAGTTGAATGGTCCTAACTATCTGTGAAGCTTGCCCAACCATTTGTTTTTCAGAGCTCTAAGTAGCAGAAAAACACAGATTCTTGCTCTGGTTCTCTAGACTCTGGAAGTCTTAAGCTTCCCTGAAAGCAGAGATGAGCTCAGCTTACCTCTTTCTGGTGGTATTTGATTGCTACTTTCAGCTTGGCTAGGTCATGGTACTTCTGAGGATCAAGCTCTTCGCTGTGGTCATCTCGATGGTTGAGGATGATCTCTAGTTCCCGGGAGCTCCGAGCTTGGTCCAGCAGGTCTTTGGCGAAGAGCTTGCACTGTTGGGAAAGCTCCTCATATTCAGCCTTGAACTCATTCTCCACCTTGCTGAGCTCCTTGAGCTCCCAGCCCAGGCGGAAGGCAGTTAGAATGGGGTCCTCACTTGATAAGGCAATGAGTGAAGGACTTGCCAGAGCCTTATAGATGTTCAGTCGGGAGCGGGAGTGACGCAGGCTGTCTACCTCTGAACTGGACACACACTCCACACAGTTGCAGCGGATCTGGTGGGGTCGTGGAATAGTGACTCGTTTTTGGACAAGCAATTTGATAATCTCATAGTTGTTGGTGTGGGCAGCCAGCATGATGGGAGTGATGTCCGGTGTGAACTCGGAGAACTGGGTGTCCATCATCAGTGTGGGGACCTGAGTACAACAAACAGCACAGAAGGACCAGATTAAAATTGGGAGAGAGAAGTTGCATAATGCCTATGAATGCTGGTAATTCAGGAATTGGAGTCTCTTGTCAATATACCTTACTGTAATAGCTAACTTTTGTGGAAAGCTTATTGTGTGTTATGCAATTTACACCCATTCAATCCCCACAAAAACATTGTGAGGTCGCCGGGCGTGTGTGCGTGCATGCCCAAGATCCCGAGAGGAGAATGGAGGAGAAGGGATTGCGGCGTGACCATCCCCCCTGGGGGGTGATTTCTCGCTTTCTGTCTCTCTGTCTGTCGGGCGAGCG